AGGGCTGCTTTCTATCCATTCTCCCTCCAGCCTGTACTTGCACTTTATTCCTACAGAGAATATAAGTCAGCATTAAATATTTCGTGATCCCCAGTTTTCTCATAATCCTTCAATATTTCTATCTTATGTGATGTATTAGACTGATTTTTGCCTGTCAGCTGTTGTTACAGCAAGAGCTGTATTCAAATGAGTGTAGAAGTGGCATTCAGTATGCACTTGTTCCTATTTGATGCTATTAGATATACGATGCAGCATGCGGAGGACTGTTGGAGTGACTAATTCATGGCCATGGATATTAATACAGTGTTGTATTTGGATTGTTTACTTTTTGCTTGTATGTGGGCAGAATGTACTGCATTGTTAAGATTCATCCTAATGGTTTCACCGTTCTTGTGCTTTGCAAGTCTCTATTTGAACTGTATGTTAGCTTAAAAATGTATTCTTGTCACATGCATATTAATGTGGTCGTGAGTGAGTGTACCTGGTCTGAAGCATTCAGTGAGAACCTTACACCTCAGTGGAGTAAGCAAAGCATAGAACCTAAATCTGTAGCTGCAGCAGGTCCAATGTGTTACGAGAGGATTAAGTATTTCTTGGGGCACTAAGCTTTGAGAAGAGACAGTGCTAGATGGTCAGAGTACTAGGGTGTGAAGTGACAATGCACAGACTAAATGCACAGGTAAGAGTAGAGGGAAAACTATTCCAACCTCCATGGGTCTAACTTCCAGACATTAGACTGAAGGCTTCTGAGTCCTGTCAGTTTATTTACACTTTCCTTAAGTAATATCTTGATTATACATTGTGGGTGGTTGCACAGTATGAGAGTTCAGAAGTGAAAAAGATGTGGAATTAGAAAGCACTTCAGAGTGACCAAAAAGGCATAATGTTGAGTGGCTGGAAATCTTCACTAAACATATGAAATGGAATGTTTTGCAATAGGGAATGTGATTTAATAAATAGTTTTCTGGTGAGTTGTGTATTGGGTTTACGTGGCAAGGTTTTGTAGCGAGGAGGCTACGGGGGTGGCCCCTGTGAGAAGCTGCTGGAAGCCTCCCCTGTGTCCTGTAGAACCACTGCCAGCTGGCTCCAAGATACACCTACTGCTGGCAGGACTTGTGACCCAGGCTGCTCCTGAAGGATGGCACGCTGTGGGGGGACGCACGCTCTGGGGGACCCACGCTGGAGGAGTTTGTGAAGAACTGCGGCCCCTGGGAGGGACTCAACGTGGGAGAAGTTGGTGGAGGACTGTCTCCTGTGGGAGTGTCCCACGCTGGAGCAGGGGCAGAGTGTGAGGATCCCCCTGAGGAGGAAGGAACAGCAGAGGCAGCGTGTGATGGACTGACCACAACTCCTGTCCCTCTCCCCTGTGCAGCTTGGGGGAAGGAGGGGGAGAAACGGGGAGCAATGCTAGTAACCATCCGGTTTTAAACTTCCCGACATTGATGTCATAGTACATGCCTTCACATGCCTTTAGTTGTACTGAGGCAGCCTCAATTTTCTGGTTTAATGTGAATTTTTGAGCATATTGTGCATAATGTATTGAGTACACTGTAGAGTGTGTTCAGAGTGCATAGAGACTGACAGCCTGCAGCCCTGTTTGTACTTCATTTTGTTTACGTGAATAGAGAAGAAAGTGTTATTAAATAGAAAAAAATGATTTATAGAAGCTGTCTTCTAATAATAACACTTTGACTTTGTGAACAGCAAAATGCTGTGAACGAAACATTGTATTTTTCTTTTTAGGTTTAAGAAGGCTACAGCTTCACTAGAACTCTAACTAGAATGGACAGTTACTTTAAAGCTGCAGTCTGTGACTTGGACAAACTACTTGATGAATTTGAACAGAATACAGGTTAGTTCCTACGCTTCCTTAATTCTCCAGCATAATAGTATTGGTGAAGTGACTGATACTGTGGAATTTGAAAGTAACATTTTGAAAGTAACGTAAGCCAAATAAAAGCTTCTATTGATGAATAGAGGGGATTTAGAGGGAGTGCAGTCTGGAAGGAGAAGAGTTTCATAAACTTTGCTCTTGATTTCCTTTTGCTTAAAATAGATGAATATGACTGCTACAGAACACCTCAGGATCCATGTGACTCAAAACACCATTCGCTTTCGTTGGTTTTGGATTGCTTACAACACATACACCCAACACCAAAACTGCAAGAGGATGCTGCTTCCTCAGAAGAAATCTCTCCAGCTAGCCACATTGACACAAGTGAAGCACTTCTGGGTTATTCACCACAAAATGAGAAGAGTGTTGCTGGACCTGATCTTTTGTCCACTGTGGACAGTGGTTCCTTAAATGAAATTCAGGCTTCAAACCTAGGAAGATGTAGTATACCTGTGTGTGATCTTGTTAACGACACAGGTAACTTAATTCATTCAGTGGCTGCTCATGAAGATACACAGAAGTTGCAGCCGGGTGACTCCCAGTGCAGTGAAGGTTTGATTGGCTTTGGAGTGTCTTGCATACCTGTTTCTACTTGTGTGTCGTCAGCTGGTTGCAGTGACGTTTCAAGTACAGAGCAGAGTGATGGAGACTCAATGCTACAAGATTCAGGAAACCTTAGAACAGAGGAGATGAATCATTTAGCTTTAAAATCAGACAGCTGTGCCGCAGCACAGATCTCAGATCCATGTGATGGTCAACACAGGACAGATTCTGTTAAGTGCAGTGAAGTATTTGATCAGCTTGACCAAACTGCTCACCTTAATACTGCATGTGTCCCTGTAACACTGCAGAATTTAAATACATACAGTCCTAAAGATGAGAAAGAATATGAAAAATTGCCTTGTGAAACACAAGATGAAAGTGTACGCTCTGCAGTGAGCAAAGAGATATATGAAAGAAATGCCATAGAAAAGGTGGATTCAGAAGATGAGAGTAACGTTGAATCCATGCCTTCGGGTCTGCCAAAGAGGCCACAGTTGCACAAAAGCCATGCAGCATTACCTGGAAATTGTGTTTTACCAGGCTCTTCATGTCAAACTGGAGTTAAAGGGGAATTGGAAAAGAAAATCACAGAAGAGAATGTAGGTAACAAAGAACTTCATAGCAATGAAATACTAACCAGTATTTCAACTTCATGTATTTCGGTTGAGGATGTCCAGACCTCACTGTCATGTCTTCCACTTCCTGTATCTATATGTGGTTCAGTAGTTGTAATGGAAGAAAAAGTTAATCCTCTACCTCAGAATGAAACGGCAGAGGTTATTAGTGATATTTTAACTGTTCAGGCTGGAAAGTCAAAAACTGACACCTCTGGTAGGGAATCCTGCAAAAACACTGACGTGCATGATCAAGAAGGGTATATAGCTAAAACCAATGAAAGTATTGTGGAAACAGACAGAGGGAAGTATGATACTGAGAATGTAATTAACGACAGTGATTTTCAGCAAGTCAAAACTTTTCCTTCTGCGTTTCTAGAATACGAAGCTGAGCCATATGGTGTTGAGATAGATTCTTACTACAATGAAAGTATGAGCCCAGTTATGACTGACTTCACTGTTGAGAATGTTATTAGAAGTGATGCTCTAATAAGCGATGCTGAGCTTGATGATTTCTTGTATGGACAAGGGATTCAGTCCAATGTGTTGAATTCTTCAGACCATGGTAGTAATTTAGTAGAAGCTGATGCACATGAAGGGGATTTAACAAATGTGAACAACCTGGATTTCACTGAGGTCTCTGAAGAACATATGCAAACAGAACTGGAGGAGATAACAAGCATTAATAGTGATCCTAAAGTATCTCTTACTGCCGTTGACTTAGAGTCTGCAACAGAAGAGAATACGTCTCATATTCAGGATATGACTGAGGGTGGTATTGAAGCACTCGTTTCTAGTGTTTGTCCTGGAGGTGCAAGACCAAAGCAGTTGCTTCACGTTTCGCAAGGAGCTGTTGGTCAAAGACAGCTGGATAGAGCAGATGTACTTGAGAGAGAAGACCAAGAAGCCAGTTTTGTTAGTCCAGAAGCTCCCCTCTCGGGCACTAGTCTAAGTGCTGGTAAAAATTCTGACCCTGTGCACTCTGGGCAAAGCAGCTCTGAAGCTGAAGGAAATCAGACATCTGAAAATGTAGAATCACTTAAAATACCTGCAGCTCTGTCACGGAAACAACCATTGTGGGTTCCTGATTCAGAGGCACCTAACTGCATGAACTGCCAAGTCAAGTTCACATTTACAAAAAGACGACACCACTGTCGGGCGTGCGGAAAGGTAAGTTATTGGGCAGGGATCCTGTGTTACCGCAAACAAATGATCTCTCATCTAGCGATAACCAAGATACAGAAGGGAAAGAATACTGACAGAATTTTTCTAGGCTCCAAGTATTTTATTTAAAGCAACATTATATTTCCTTCATAGAAACTTAAAGAATGGAGAAGACTGATATTGATTTGGAAACATATGACCTTTTTTGTGAAAATAATTAAGGGGAAGTATGGAGAATGTTCTTATTTTGTCTTCCATTACTGGCTAGACTAATGTGTTTTGCATAGAACAAGATGAGACAGTGGACTGCTTCATAGTAGTCGTAGTGATTCAGCTTTTTCCTCAGCTTTTAAGTTAAGTTGAAGTATTTAAGCTTAAAAAAAAAAGAGGTGAGGATGATGGGAATTCAGGTAAGTAGTTACACTTGCTGTGAAACACTGCCAGTGAATCTGGAAGGACTGCATTCTTTCAGGAGTTGTAACAGCAATATCAGTGCAAAGGATTTATAGCCTAAATCTGTCCCCCTGTGTGTTTAGATGTATAATTTTCCAGGGGAGTCATCTTAGGGGAGAAGTATCCTCCTTTTGTGGGGTGAATGTTACTCCCCAACTGAGCGAGTAATCTGTAGAACTTCTTTCAGCCTGCGGTCTTCTTCAGTGAGTAAATAATGTCAAAGCTTGTTCTTAATTGAGAATTCCCATGTGAGCTGCTGTGGTTTACCCTTGTGCCAGTGTGTAAATGGAAATACTAACAGTACTAGTGGACTTACTTTTCAGTGTTCATCTGTAAGCTTTATGGATGTGGAGATACCATCCGTATGGATGAGGATGCTTACCATCTTTTTGCATCCCCAGTGCTGAGAGACATCTAGAGAGGCTTGGTAATTTTTTTCCCAGGATGCCTGTCCTTGCACTGTGTATACGAAGCATAGTACCCATTTCCTTCAATGTCAGTAAGTGTCAACTAAAATGCAGGCCTGAATTTGGGTACCAAGAGAATTAAGAACTCACTGTGACAACTTAAAAGTCATTGAACTTAATCACTTGGCAGAATGCCAAGAAGTTTTGTAACAGTTTAAAACTCAGTTCTTCAGTGAGTTTCGTTTCAGTCATAAGACTTGATGGACTTCAAGTTCCTGTTTACATTCGCTGTGAAACTTCTTGCATCTTGTCTGGAGATGGGGATAAAAGCACCCTCCACTACAGAGTCCTCTTTACAACCATCAGCTGTTAGTGTTGTTAGTCTTGTGTGTTAACAGAGGGGTTTTGGGCAGAACAGCAGTGTAATTAGAGCGAGCATCACAAGACATGTTCACTGGCAGAATGAATGAAGGCAGTATACGTGATTAAACTTTATGGATACTGGAGTGCTATGCAGTTGTCACTCTGAAATAGCTATTCTGAATGTGCAACAGGTTAATTTTCTGCCTTGTAAGACTTCTTGTATTTTTAATAGTAACTTTTGTCTTTACATTTTAAAAAAATAAAAAAAAAACACCCATGAAACACCACAAACAAAACCCCAAAACTTTCCTTGTGACATCTTGCAAATTGTTGTGTTTTCAATTGGACATAAGGAGAAACTGGTAGGAATTCACTGTTGTCCTCTGTGGACGATTACAGAATACAATTGTGTAGTTTTCCTGTGTTGCTGCAGCTTTTTTTATCAATGAAAATGGCAACATTTGTGAGTTCTGGCTTCTGTGCTGGAGGGAAATGCGAGGTTAGTGGTCTCTGCTTTCTCTCCCATCTGCAGCACTTGTGAGACCCAGCAACTTTGCAGTTTCTTCAGTTAGGTGCTTGTCTCTTGCTGTGGTACTCTTCCTCTTCCTAGTTCAACAGGAATAAACTTCCTTGCTCAGCTGCCTCATCTTCCTGCCCTTTCCCCTGTTACATTACCCATTCCTTACTTTGTCTTCACCTCTCGTCTGTTGTGCATTAGGATTACGCTGCCTCCTCTGTGGTGGGTCCCAGTTGTGGGTCCCAGTAGCACCAAGTGTAAGAGGAGAATACCAATTGCAAAGGATTGTACTGCTTAGCATTTGAAGCCCTAACCTGGATTGTAACTGATTAGCAATTAATCTCAACCAATTACATTCTTAACATCTTTACTGAGCATGTGCATTTTAAGTTGGGGTAAATTACCTGTGACACTAATGTGAAAGTAACTGGAATGGTTTCTTTTTTGAGCTCATATTGCACTGATCGAGTATTACTGTTTTTACAGTGGTTTTTTTTCTTTTTTACTTAAAGGAGTTCAGTTGTAATAACTTAATTTTTTTTTTCCTGTCACTACTGCTTGGTGGTTTTTTTCCACCCTTAATCCACTTCACCTTCCTTGAGGTAATTAGGAGTAACAGAAGACTTTTAGTCTTCTTTCCACTTACTTAACTCTAGTCAGTGGTGAAGGCTTGTGTCAGACTAAGGTTTTAAAAAAATACCTTCAGTAAAGGCTAATGCTGATTCTAGAGTCTGGGTATAGCTGAAGATGGTGGGACTCTTTGAAAACTTGTAAATTGCCCTTGAAAGAACATAAGGGAAAAGTACCAGGTATTTATGGGAACTCATGCAGAAAACAGCTTTACTAGACTTAATTCTTTGAATGGGATTGTGCAGGTGTAGCCCTGCTTCCTCAAGATCCAGAGTGCAGGAGAGATCTCACCAGAGTTAAGGCAAGCCCATCAAGAGAGCAACCAAGAAAAAAACAACTAACCCACCTGCATGGCCCCCAGCCCACTTCCAGCTTACACACTGAGCATGATGTTTTAGGTAATGAATTATCCCTTTGGTCAGTGTGGGTCAGCTGTCTTGGCTGTGTCCCCTCCAGCTTTGTAGCAAAGAAGCTGAAAAAGTCCTTGACTTGGTACAAACATTCCTTAGCAACGACTGAAAGACTGAAAACTAAATACTTGGCGTAGCCTTACACAAATCCAGCACGTAGCCTCGTACTAGCTACTGCGAGGAAAATTAACTCAATCCCAGCTAAACCCAGCATAGATAGATATCCTGTGGGAATAGAAGCCCATATTCTATTCTTTCAAGGCAGTCTTCAGCAAGCCTGTAAAATACTTTGCTGAAGGGAGCTAATACACGAAGACAGCTATGCTTAACCTTTCTGACGGAGCTGGGGACCCTACTTATCCAAGATAGTTCCTGAGCCAGCATTAGTAAATGGCTTGGGAAGCAGCGAGCTCTGGCTTAGATAGTTGTCCGTGAGATAGAAGAGGCAGCTTGGCATTTCCTGACAAACTGTTAATGCTTGTCATGGAGAGACGACGCAGCACACAGTGCTGCAAGGTCAGAATGACTCTTTGGTGGTATGCGTCTGGGTCTTTTAGACATTACCGGGATCCTAATGGAAGATGGCAACAGCGATCTTCAGAGAGAATGCTAAACTGGTAAAGCAAATCTGACCTCATTCTGGGCTTCAGCCCTTGTTCCTATTGCAGTTGTTTAATGTAAAATTGTTACAAGATTAACAGAAGTGGGAGTGAATTTGTGAATAGGTGATGCAACCTGGAATTCTTTTCATTGCTCCAGATAAGGATTTTAGTATAATGTCACTTGTGTCCTCGTTGTTGCTGCTCTTTGTCGTGTGTGTATTGTCGTGTTTTGGTTTGGGGTTTTTTTGTTCTGAGGGATTAAGATACAGGCTTGAATATTAGGCTGCAGAGGGCTTAGAATCAAACAAGTGTATTTTGTGGAAGAATTTTCTAATCACTGTGCAATTGCATGCCAGCTTTTAAAAATCTAATTTTAGCAGTTTTGTGGGCACATGGCCTTGTGTGATTAGATCTGCTCAGGGCAAGAAATCTTAGGTGCTGCTCTGTTTCATAGCTGAATCTGAGAGAGTATTGCAAGAGCTGAGGGCTTAGCTATGGAATGTGGGTATTCCTGGCCATGTGTGGAAGGTTGGTTTGGAGATATCGAAGGATTGGTTTTGGCCAACAGAAATGCCTCACGTTTCAAAAGCTTATCCTATGGATAGGTTGTGGTGCAGTTCTGGGGAGCAGGATAGGAAGAACCCTTGATCAAAAGCAGGCTTCATGGACTTTGTAGTTTGGCCCAAATTGTGGAGCTTTTATGATTCTTAATCATAGTGTTATAGAATAGTTTGGGCTGGAAGGGACCAGTAATCAAAAATCTAGTCCAAGCTTTCTGCTGTGAGCAAGGACATCTCTCAACAGGTCTGGTTGCTCAAAGCCTGGTTCAAGCTGACCTTCAACACTTACAGCAATGGGACACTGTGCCGGTTTTGGTTGGGATAGTCAATTTTCCTCACAGCAGCTAGTAAGAGGCTGTGTTTTGGATTTATGCTGGGAATACTGATAACAGCCTAACGTTTTCAGTTGTTGCTGAGGAATGTTCATACCAATCCAAGGACTTGTTCCGTTTCTGGTGCTGCCCCGGAGTTCCCAGCCTCTTCTCCACAAGAAGCTGGGATGGGACACAGCTAGGAGAGCTGACCCAAACTGACCAAAGGGGTGTTTCATGCCATAAAACACCGTGCTCGGTATGTAAGGTGGAGAGAGTGGGCCAGAGGGCTGGCTCGCGCTCTCTGCTCGGGAGCTGACTGGGTGGTGGTTGGTAGGTGGTACACAGTTTATCGCCGTGGTTGTTTTTCTACTCCTGTTTTCTTTTTCGATATGTGTTATTATCCTTAGTGGCAGTATTTTCATATTATGATTGTTATTAGTAGTATCATTATTTAATTTATTTTCAATTATGAAAATGTTCTTATCTCAAGCTGTGAGTTTTCTTACCTTTTCCTCTGATTCTCTCCTTCATGCCACTGGGGGAAGGGGGGGCAGAGGGGGCAGGGTGAGCGAGTGGCTGTGTGCTTGGTTGCTGACTGGGATTAATCACAACAGGCATCCACAACTTCTCTGGGCAGCCTGTTCCAGTGCCTCATTACCCTCACTGTAAAAAAAATTCGTCCATATATCTGATCTGAATCTACCCTCTTTTAGCTTAAAACTGTTGTCCATTGTCATGTTACTACAAGCCCTGGTAAAAAGTCTCTCCACCTGTCTTACAAGCCCTCTTTACATATTGAAAAGCCACAATAAGGTCTCCCCAGAGCCTTCTCTTCTCCAGGCTGAACAAGCCCAACTCCCTAAACCTGTCTCCATAGCAGAGGTGCTCTAGCCCTCTGAGCATTTTTGTGGCCTCCTCTGGACTCACTCCAACAGCTCTGTCTTTCCTGTGCTGAGGACCCCAGAGCTGGATGCAGGAAAAGCTTTTTTATTCTAGTACTTTCTCCCCAGACAGAAGTGTATTGTAAGATACCTATGCTAAGGCTCCTTTTCTTCCATGCTTCCCAAAATGTGTATGCATGCTTTATATAATGCTGGTTTAGTACAAAGTAAATAATAATAGGAACTTAATTCAGGAAATGCTGGGGTTTTGTCTATAATATTTAATTCAATCTTTTTCTGGTTCAGGTTTTTTGTGGTGGCTGTTGCAAACGAAAGTGCAAACTACAATACATGGAGAAGGAAGCAAGAGTCTGTACTGGCTGTTATGATGATATTAATAAAGGTAACAAGTTTGGGGTTTTTTTGAGTAATTGTAGTGATCATTAAAGAAGACTAGATACCGCTAGCATCTCCTTAACGTTTGTGCTTGAGGGGAGCTTCACTACTTTAACTGGTGTATGTTTCCGTATTTGTGAGATGTATGGAGGAAGAGAATAACTGTACCTCTTAGTTGGATTTAGTTATATTAAACTGAGTAGCACACTTTATTTTTTAAGAAAACCCCAATCAACCAAAAAAACCCAAAACAAAACAAAAAAACCCACACACAAACAAAACAAACAAAAAACCCCCCAACAAACCACAAACATTTGAACTCCATAGGACTAAATATTAAGCTGTTCTATTGGGTCATCTGTGGCAGGATTCTAGCAAAAGTGATCCTCCCTTCACAGTAGCCTTCTGTATGTTTAAAGGCCATACCACTGCTTGTTCTTGTGTTTTTTGCCTGATTTATGTAGCTTTCTGTCCTGACATTTTTACAGGTCACTTACCAGTACGACAGTAATTGAATCATAAGATAACATTTTCTTAACTGAAGGATAAGCATGGATGCTTATGGAAACATCAGGAGAAAAATTGCGGTTCTGATTACTAATGTTTAAATAACAGGTTGAAAATATACTAGAATTTCAATATGCCAACTGAATGGAATTTGACTCAATAAATGTGATATTTGCACCAAGGTTCGGGGATCATGTGGTTCAATGTAGTCACTGCAGCAGTAACAAGATGTGCAAGGAAGCTTGTTTCTGTGTTGGAAATTAATTAGGCAAATGTGCAGGTAGAAAATAATGAAATTAAGTTTTCTTGGGTATAATAGCTTGAGCGTTAATTTTGCGTAACTAGCTCACAGATTGTACATTGCTTCTGCAAAACACCCAACTGTAATACTGCAGTGCAAATGAAATTTAATCAATTGTGAGATCTTAAAAACTAACCACATCTTTTTAGCACAGGCATTTGAAAGGATGATGAGTCCCACTGGTCCAGTTCCCAATTCCAGTATCTCTGAGTATTCTTCTGCTGTTCCACCTTTGGAGGAAGCCCAGATACCTGGTAGTGTTAGCTCTCCATCAGCTTCTGCACCTTTACCTATCTCAGCACTTAAACAACCTGGTATTGAAGGTATGCTAAATACACTGTAATACAGCTAACACTTTCAGGATCTCTTTGGAAAGAGTTGTTTATTGCATCATGGATACATACTTGGTATAGTGATATTTTTTGTGGGAAATAGAAACTCAGTGAACTGGGACAGTGGAAAGTTATTTCTAGTTCCCAGTTTTGATGCCATGTGTGAGCTTGACCAAGTCTCTCTTAAGTCTCCATTTATGAAGTGTGGTTGTTACCTCTTTTTCATTGTCCTTTTTGTTTATATTGTAGTGTGTTTTGTGTAGATATTACTTCCATAATGTTTACATAGCTTAGCAGGTCTCTGGCTTGTGTTGTGACTGCCAGTCTTGCAATAAAAACAAAAAGTAGTTGTTTGGGGAAAAGATGCTGGGGAGTTGTAGGCATTAATTCTCTGTGTGTATATGAATGGTCAGTGGCTAAGTAGTGTCTTCACTTCTATTAAACATATGACCTTCTTCAATTAAAAAAGTTTTAAACAGTGATAAGCTAACTTTGTTAGAGTGTATTTCATCTTTTAGTTGTGATGTGCACTTCACTTTTACCTTGATACAAAGGGATGATTGAGGAAACAGCCTTCCTTATATAGGAATTGATAGATTCAACTGTAGCATGGCAGCTGCAAGTATGAGATCTTTTTGGCACATGTTTGCCTAACTGGAGACTAACTGATGTCAAACTATCTATCTGCCTGTGCTTGGTTCCAGTAAACAGACTTCTGTATATATCTGGGGGGAGAAAGGGCTTAGTTTTTATTCCTTTCAGCTATTTGAGCACTATAGTAATACGCAGTCAATGTTGTTTTCTTAACGTAGGGCTGTGCCCCAAAGAACAGAGGAGGGTTTGGTTTGCAGATGGTATTTTGCCAAATGGCGAAGTGGCAGATACTACCAAACTTTCATCTGGAGCAAAGAGGTTGTCACAGGACTTAAGTCCAGTAAACCTTGACTCACCAGAGATGCATACGGTATGAATTAACAAGTGTGTGTAGGTGCACGAATTACCTCTTGAAATACTTTTGCTTGCCTTTCATACCAGAATATGACTTCTGCTTCACTGTTTTTGGAATCTGAGCCAGTAATTGGTTATTTTTTGGGGAGTGGCTGTGAAGGGTTTGGATTGAAATACTCTAGAGCATACTTCAAAGGAAACCATGTTTGGTTTGTAGTGTATGTAAACTTAGAAAAGGCAGAAAATTTTCCAGAATGTTTGGGGTTTTTTTTTCTCCATCTCCTTTGATTGACTACTTTTATGATGGTAACCTCAGCTGTAGTTCTGAGAACTGTCTTTAACAACATGCTTACAGCAGAAGTTTGTGGGTTTTTTTCCAGTGGCTTGCTATGGTCTACCTGTTCAATCAGATGATCGTTAGTGCCCTAGAGTTCTACGTTACAGGCTGCAGCAAAATCTGTGTGTTGCTTCTGAGGTGAACCAACACTGAACTGTAAGGGTGATTGGCTTTTCTAAAACAGAACATGTTCATGGTGGTGAACTAGATGCACTTGAAAAGAAAAGTCCAAAGAGCGGTACAAGTCTGCTGTGGAAGGATTTGGAAAGATTCCTCAGCTGGAGCTTTTAAAATAGAACATCGCTCTGAAGAGCTGTCTCTAGTGATAACATAAATCCATCCAGAGGGACCTGGACAG